TAGTTATAACTTTCCTTCTAAGGAGTAAGAGTCTTTTAATTTCATGGCTGCAATCACCATCTGCAGTGATTTTAGAGCCCCCCAAATAAAGTCAGCCACTGTTTCCACTGTTTCCCCATCTATTTGCCATGAAGTGATGGGACCAGATGCCATGATCTTAGTTTTCTGAATGTTGAGCTTTAAGCCAACTTTTTCACTCTCCTCTTTCACTATTCTCAAGAGGCTCTTTAGTTCTTCTTTGCTTTCTGCCATAAAGGTCATTTGCATATCTGAGGTTATTGATATTTCTCCCAGCAATCTTGATTCCAGCTTGTGCTTCATACAGCCCAGCATTTTTCATGATGTACTCTGCATATAAATTAAATAAGCAGGGTGACAATATACAGCCTTGATGTACTCCTTTTTCTATTTGGAAGTCTTCTTAGTTACAGCCATAGTAATGCTGCAGAGCCAACAAAGTGTCTAAGGAAGGCTTAATAGTTTAGTCTTAACATGGAACGAGTGGGAGATGTTCTTTCACTAAGCACTAGACTGCTCCATCAGTTCAGGGGAAGTTGAGGACAGTGGTGCTGGACTGGAAACTCAGGAGGCCCCACCCTGGCCAAGTGGAGAGCTGGAAGCCTGAAGAAGAGGAAGTGTTTTAGAATTTATACCTCCCATTGGATATAGGGTTTCCCAGGTGGCTCAGCTGGTAAAGAATGTGCTTGCAATGCAGGAGACCTGGGTTTGATCCCTGGCTTGGGAAGATCCCCTGGAGAAGGGAACAGATACCCCCTCCAGTATTCTGGTCTGGAGAATTCCATGGACAGTATGGTCCATGGGGTCACAAAGAGTCGGACATGACTGAGCGACTTTCACTTCACTTGGATATTGGGGGCTTCCCTAGTGGCTCAGATAGTAAAGAATCTGCCGGCAATGCAGGAGATTTGATCTCTGGGTCAGGAAGATCCTCTGGAGAAGAAAACAGCAATCTATTCTATTATTTTTGCCTGGGAAATCCCCTGGAAAGAGGAGCCTGGCGGGCTACACAGTCCATGGGGCTGCAAAGGGTCGGGGATGATTGAGAGACTAGTATTTTGCGTATTGTGAATACTCCTGACCCCTTCAGAGCACACCAGTCCAAATTCCAACTGCAGCCCAAGGGCCTTCTCTGGCATCTGAGGCTCACTTCAGCCACCCACTTGGCAGGCGGGAAGTGGAGAAGAATTATCACATCCCTGGGAACAGCCTTCAACCCGTGGTTGAAGGAGGTGGTATGTAGACACTCTGCCTCCCTCGTGGGGCTTGCACAGCTGCTGTGCATGCTTTGTATCAGCTTCCCCAGCAGGACTATGCCCAGTTGCCCACAGTGGTAGTTGGTCTGACAATACTCTCTTTATCAGCCGCCTTCCTTTCCTTGTCTTGTTTTTCCACCTTTCCCTACTCCTGTTTGCTTCCACTTCCCCAGTAAACTTGCACTAAAAACTTTGTCTCAGGATTTACTCCTGTGGAAAGGTAAGGACTGAAATATGTCACCTCATCTTTCAGAGAGAAAGTTTCAGGCCCCCATCTTTCAGAGAGAAAGTTTCAGGCCCCCCCAGCACAAACGCCCTCACACCCTCATGGCCGGCATGGTGAGCAGGAACCCACCATGAAGGCATGAGTGCTCCAGACTAGTGTGCCATCCAGAGCACCAAGCAAAGTACTTAGATAACAGAGCTCAGAAGGCACTGCCTACCTTGGGTTTGTTTCTCTGTGCTCGATGCTGACTAGCCCTATTCTGCCCATATCTCTTCCTTAATGCTGAGATTAATTCAATTAACCAGGGTTCCATTTTCTAAGCCACCATCACATTCAAACCTTGCCTCCCTGTGATACTGGCAAGTCATCTTGAGATACTGGCAAGCATCCAGTCCACCTGGGCTCTTGAGTTGCATGTTCACAGGCAGCCTCTTGGTTTTTTCCTGATATTTAGATTCCTAAGTTTCTATTATCTCATCAATCTGGCACCAATGTCGCTTCTAGGATCAGTCACATAATCCCCTATTCCAACGACATGACTCCATGAGACCCACCAGGTCCATCAGCAGAATCAAAGGACATCTGTATGTCACCTTCTGCTCCCAGACATAGCTGTTTACCAAGTGAATGTAAGGTGATGAACTGGAAATAAGAGTGGACCTCTTTGAACTTTTGATAAAATAATGGAGAAAGTTAGGCTAAAAGCTCTGGGAAGGGGACTAAGGTCCAAGGAGGATCTTTTGTGTTTCTTGTATTTGACCAAGAATTTGGCAATCATCCTTGTTTCCCCCCTCAAGTCTCTGTCAACCCTGAGCCCCACCTTGCTGGCACCAGGATCCAGGTCTCCAGTCTGCTCCTGAATCACTTGAAAAGCTTTCCCTCTGTATTTTCCAGTTGCCAGAGTGTTCTTTCTAAGATGCAAATCTGATCTTATCAGTCTCTACTTGCAGCCATTCTGTGAATTGCTGTTGCTCTCTGGAAATCATTCAGATCTTTATGAGGATTTCAAAGCTGATGGGACCCTTTTTGTCTGGCCCCCTGACTACTTCTCCAGTCCTCTCTCTCCACTCAACTCTTCAGAAAAAAAAAAAATGTTGCCTGCCATTTCAGCAAACAAAGACTGTTGTTTGCCATCAAGCCATCAGCCACTAAGGAACATTCAGAATGGAGAAGAGGATACTGGCCCTAGATGTGTGTCAAAGGAATGATTTCAACGAGCCCAGACTCTTGCATCTTCCCACACATAGAAGAGCATGAAACTCATTAACTTGAGATGTCTGTTTTCTTGTTTAGCAATCATCTTTTGATATTTGACAACTTGCTGATTTGTTTTTATTTAAAAAAAAACTACTATGTATCCTGGGCTTCCCAGGTGGCTCAATGGTAAACAATCCACCTGCAATGCAGGAGATTCAGGAGATGCAGTTTCAATCCCTAAGTTGGGAAGATCCCCAACTTAGAGAAGGGAATGGCAACCCACTCCAGTAATCTTGCCTAGAGAATCCCATGGACAGAGAAGTCTGGAGGGCTACAGTCCATGGGGTTGCAAAGAGTTAGACATGACTGAGCACGCAACACTACCACTACCTATGTATCCTGGCTCTTCCCTTACCTCTTTGGAACAGATTCTCAGAGCTATCTGAGAGGCTGTATCCCAGGCTATAGTCTTCAATAAGGTCCCTGAATAAAACATAACTGGCATTTTCTAAGTTGTACGTTTTTCTTCAGTCCACATCTCTTTGCATAACACTCAAGTGATTCCTGCTCCTGCAGCTGAATAAGTCAGACTCATAGTTATCTCTGTGTCTCTGCATGTGCCACACAGAGACTCCCTCCTTATGGAATTCATCTTCTTTCCTCTGACTCTTCTGTGACCTAATGTCTCTTGCTGGTCCCTTGGGACAGAGTTGAAGTGTCATGTTCTCTGAGAAGACTTCCCTGATTTCCTCTCATGTAGGTCAGGGCACCTCGTACTTTACTCTGGTGACACTTAATGAAACTATTTTCTAATTGCTTATTGACCTATGTCCCTCGAGCTCAAGGGGGTACAGAAGCTCATGTCCAACTTTCCTGGAAAATTTCCAAAGTGAGAGGTGGCTAGGCTTTCCCTCAGTGAGAAAAGAGGACTTGGGTGGGAGGGGTCTGCTCTCCAGGGATTGGGTGAGACAAAGGATTTCTCCTGAAGGAAAGGGACATCGCAGAAGGGACCTGGGCTTGAGTCATTTGATGGAGACCTAAGCGCACAGCTCAGCAGGGTGCCATTACAAAAAAAACGTCTCCTTGGGCTTTGCCAATAGAACAAATGAGGGGGGCAGTTACAAGTAGTCAACCAATTACTGCATACAGGGCCCAGAGCAATGTGGCGGGATAGCTCCATGGGACTGAAAACTCCACATACAGGAAAAGGAAAGCTTTCCACCAAGGCCAGAAAAGTGAAATAACTTGCTTAGGATTTCAGAGCTAGGACGTGACAAAGCTAGGATTTGACTCTGATTCAACAGGATTGGATGGAATGGATGGCAGGGCAGGAGTGACTGGGAAAGACTTGGGTGTGTGTGTGTGTGTGTGCGTGTGAAAGACCAGGTGAGCAAAATACCAAGATTTCGTGGAGAAGTAGGTGGGAACAGAAAACAACATGGATAACATCCCTTACAGATACAGCTTCAGAAACGTCCATGGCAGAAAACTCAGTTACCCAAGAAGTGGGCACAGAGCTGTTTACCTCCTTTGATTCCTGGATCACACCAGGAGAACTGCTCTGAAGTGTTTCCTTGAAAAACAAGCCCGCACCCCCGCTTAAGTCTCAGTGAAGGTAAGAAAGCGAAGGCTGGCCAGCCTCCCAGGACATCTGAAGTTCGGTCACTGAAGACGCTTGGAGAAAGTCTACATCGATATCATTGTTCACTTTGTGCCAGAAAGGCCAGGGCCCAGGGACCTACCTCAGCCTGAAACCTGCCAAGACTGACAGACAAGATCAGAACAGCCCTAGCGCAGAACCAGCTGCTGCCTGGAGCGGGCACACCCAGTCGGTGCCGCGCGCCCTCCGAAACCCCAACTGCCCCGCGCATATACCTCCCGCTCCCTTTCGGACGGCTAGGCTTAAGCAGAAGGCAGGCGGATACGAGTCTTTAGCGAAACAGCCCTGAAGCCCAACTGGAGTTTTATTTCTAGAGCGAGAGCGGGCTGGGTCCGGGGGTGGAGAGGAGCTCGCCGAGCCGGTGCGCGTCACCGTCGCCCGGAGAGACGCCGCGCCGCGCGATCGGCAGAGGCGCTAGCTCTCCCGCAGCCGGAGGGAGCGGCTCTTTCGCAGCGGAGACACGAAAGTGGCGCGGGCGGCCCGGAGCGCGCGATCGGGGGCGGGAGTCAGGCGCGGAGCGGCCGCCCCCCCGAGCGCTGCGAGACCCGGGGTCCTAGGGCGCACTGCCCGCGCGCTCCTCTCCCCGTTCCCGAGAGCACGCACGCGGCCCGCGGGGCGTCCCGGGCGCGGGGCTCCGGCAAAGATGACCCCTGGCTGGGTGCTGCTCTGCCTGCTCCCGGCGGTGCGGGCCGCGGACGAGCGGAGCCCCGGGGCGGCCCTAGCGGGTCCCAATGCCTCGCACTTCTTCTGGAACAACTATACCTTCTCTGACTGGCAAAACTTCGTGGGCCGGAGGCGCTATGGGGCCGAGTCCCAGAACCCCACGGTGAAAGCCCTGCTTATCGTGGCTTACTCTTTCATCATCGTCTTCTCGCTCTTCGGCAACGTTCTGGTCTGTCATGTCATCTTCAAAAACCAGCGGATGCACTCGGCCACCAGCCTCTTCATCGTCAACTTGGCTGTTGCAGACATCATGATCACGCTCCTCAACACCCCCTTCACTTTGGTGAGCCGAGGGCTGGGCTCTGTCACCCTGGGTCCCCTCCCTTTCGCCGCCCGATTTATCCCTTTTCCCGTCTTTTCCCCTCTCTGCCTGTCTTCTTGCTTCATCTTTCTTAGTCTCTCTCTGGTCGACTCATCTCTCATCGCTCTGCCTTGCCGTTTCGTCTTGGTGTGTCTGTTTCTGACGCTGTCATTTCGCGTTTGTCTTTCTGCCTGTCTCTGTCCTCTGTCTCTGGTTCTCTGTGTCTTCATCTATTTATTTCTTGTCTGTGACTCTCTCTGCTTCTGCTTGTCTGTCTCTATCTCTCTCCTCATGCTTATCCTTGACACTTCTTGCCTGTCTCTCTGTAGTATTGTCTTTCTGTGCTCTGTCTCTCTCATCACCTCCTAAGCCAGAGCTTCTGCAGCTCATGGCACTGGGATCAATGGTTTGAGTGTCTGCAGCCAGGTGTGAGTCAATGACCATTTCCTGTGTAATGTCACTGAGCGAGAGTCTGCATGATGATGGAGCAGTAAATCAAAGCCCCTTGAAATGCCAGCGTAGATTGTTAGGTCACCCCACCCCCATTAAATATAGCCCATCATTAAATGCCATTAAATGCCCCCTGCCATGGGATGCTGCTTGAAGCCAGGATGAAATATGAAACAGTTGCTATTTGTTAATGGAACCTTGGGTGCATTTTCCTAGACCACTTAGTTAAATTTCATTTCCCTTCTGTGGTTTGCCAGTGAGGTTGTGTATGAAGTCTGTGTGGTGGAGGACATGTGGGTGGGTGAGGTGGGCTTGGGCCCCAGGGCAGGGGTGGCCTGGGGGCACTTGCACACAGGTAGGGGGAGAGATCCCTGCCCCGCCTCTCTTCCCCAACTTCCACTGAGCCTGGACTGCTGAGTGGTGGTGTCACTACTCTTCTTCCATGTCTTGGGACTGCGGTGCTCATGGATGATCAAAACTGGAAGAGCTATGACCAAGCAGTCATCATGACAGGAACTCCTTCTATTTCTGCAGCATGAGTTAGGCTTTTTTCCAATTTATGAACAACCTTTTTGATACTTGAGTTATTACCAAACCCTATCTGTTCATATGTCTTTCTCTCTCTTTCTTACATACACCACACACACTCAACCAGAAATAACAGACAAGCAAAGAGAAGGTGAATTCCAAAGAGCCTATACATGTGTGTGAACATCCTTTCAAACATTACATTTAAAAACTGTGTCCTCTCTCTTGTCTTTGCTTATGAGAGCATCACTCCCTTTTGGCAGATGAGAAAATTGTGGCACAGAGAGGTTCAGTCGCTTGTCCAGGTCACTTGGCTGGTAGGTAACTGGCAGAGCCAGCATGAGAATTTGGTCCTCTGACTCAAGTACGGCCAGAGGTCTGTCCATGAGGCCCCCAATTAGGGGGTAGGGGGTGGGACCTCTTGGACCACTGCTCTCAACCACTTTCCCTACTCTCCTTTCTGCCTACATCTACTGGATTCCTCAGGGGCAAAGAGGCTTCCAGATACCTCCCCCTACAACGTACACACACACATCTACTCCCCACCGACTGCCTTAAAGCACAGGAAGTGCATCTCTGGCTCCTCTTGGCTCCCCCTTGGCTTCTGACTTGACCATTTGTAGTCCTGGGGGGTGGGCTAGGCCACCCAGGATAGAAGCCCTGGAGCACAGCCCTCTGCTGCTGCCCAGAGCAGGGTGAATGGCTGGGTCTGTACACAGGGTGGAGGGTGGGGAGGGGAGGCCAGGCTGCAGTTCAGAGCTGAGAGCCCCTACCTGGAGGATCGCCTGCAAAAGAGGGGGTGTCAAGGCTCTGAGGACCCAGCCCCTGCTCCAGGTTGATCCAAACCAGCGTGGCCTTCAACCTGACCCATGCAACCACTCCAGTCCAATTCCCTATCAGAGCTTCTGAGGAGCTGGCGATCAGGGTGAGTCAAAAGGTTGAGGGGAGGGTCTTCTAAACCTCAGCCAGGCTCCTCGATGGGTAAGATGTCCTGTCCTTGGGCTAGTTGATATCAATATCCCTCCTCCCTGTTCTCCCTTCCTGTCCACTTTACATACTATGTCAGCATGAAAACCAGCGCTGGTTGATGAGAGAAAAGCAAATAATTACTCACAATTACTGTGGCAGAGGTGGGCATAGAGTGTGGTGGAGCCAGGAGTCAGTCCTTTATTTTGATCTGCCAGAGTCCCATGAGCGGGTCAAAGGAGACTTCTCAAAAAACACAACATTTCAGAGGGGCTAGGATGAGTAGGAATTTCTCAGGCTGAGATGAATGTTCAGCGCAGGCAGAGACTGGAGAGGACAAAGGCAGGGGTGTCCAGGTTCGTGGTGTGTTGAGCGCTCACTGCAGCTGCAGCGTTGGGGCAGGAAGCACCGTGGAGGAGCCACGGGGCAGGAAGAAGCAGAGGCAACCAGGGAAAGGTTGGCCGGCTACGAGTGGCCTGGATGCTCGGAGGGTATCTGGCTCTGTCTTGAAGGCCGTTGATGATTCTAAGCAGGAAGGTGACAGAATCTGACTTTTGGTTAAGAAAGCGCTGTTAGCAGTGTGAAGGCTGAATTACAGGGGGACAGATTGAAGGACTAGAAAGCTGACTGGAGGCTGTGATAGTCCAGGTGAGAGATAAGGGGGCTCCAAGCAGGCTGTGGCCTTGGGACTGAAGAGGAGGGAGTGAACTAGGAAACCCTTCAAGCAGCACTGCTTGGCTTTGGTTCTAAATTGACTGTGGGAGGTGAGAAGCAGGGGTGCCTGAGGGTTTCCTGCTGAGTAGTGTCACTGGGCTGCTCACATCCCCATGGAGCTCCTACCTGCCTATTCCAGAGAGAATAGTGTCCATAGTTTGTGTACCAGGTTCATGATCGGGTCAGACTTGTCCCCCGTGTTTCTCATGCACATGCTCTAGTCAAATCATTCCAACCCTTGTTGCCCAAACAGCTCCTGAGATTCCTGACTTTGTGCCAAGCTCATTGTTCTTACCTGCACACGGGCAAATCCTACTTCTTCTGTAAAGTGTTAGTCGCTCAGTTGTGTCCAACTCTTTGAGAACCCATGAGCTATAGCCCTCCAGGCTCCTTTGTCCATGGAATTCTCCAGGCAAGAATACTGGAGTGGGTTGCCATTCCCTTCTCCAGGGGATTGAACCTGGGTCTCCTGTACTGCAGGTAGATTCTTTACCATCTGGGCCACCAGGGAAGCCCATTCTGTAAAGCTCATCTCAAATGTCTCGTATCTTATAATAATGGCAGCTAGTAGTTAAGTACTTGCTATGTACCAGGCACTATTGTATCTGGTTTACTCATTCTCTCTGCTTTACCGGTACTTGATTTTTATAGCAATCATGTGAACAAGGGTTAGCCCAGGAAAGTGAGGCTCACTGGACCTAAGTGCCTTGCCCAAGGTGACAGCTATCAGTAGCAAATACTCTGCTGTAAATCACTGCTCGACATTCTTCCTGTCGAGCTGACTTGCTCTATTTCTTTGTGTCATCGCTCTCTCAACCTCAGCCCACTCCCACCTGCCCTGGTGACCCTTTATCTGGGCCTTCTGTGGGGCAGGGGTCCCAACCCCTGGGCCACAGACCAGTACCTAATGGGACCCGGGCCCCACAGCAGGTGATGAGTGGTGGGCAAGTGAGCGAAGCTCTGTGTTTACCTGTACCCTTCACTTGTTACTGCCTGAGTACCTCCTCCTGTCCATCAAGGCAGCATTAGATTCCCCTTGGCGCACGCATCCTACTGCACTCGAATCATCTCGAAACCCTCACCCCCCATGATTTATCTTCCATGAAACTGGCCCCTGGTGCCAAAATGGTTGGGTATCTCTGCCATAGGGCATTGACTATTTTCTATCTTGCATCTGAGATACCTGAGATCTCCTCTTCCCAAGTTGGGAGCTCCTTGATCAGAATCAATGCCTGATCCCTTTTGGGTGTGGAGCATCACTCACAGGAGCTCAGGCGCTGAGTGAGCAAAGAGCTATGGAAGATGTGGGTTGAAGCCTTTCCTGCTCCCCGGGCCCCACACACCCTGAGAGCTGGTCTCCTCTTTCTGCCCAGACCCTGGCCCCTGCTCCCACATCTGCAGATCCCTGGGTCTCCTTCCCAGATGACGTGTCTTGAGGCCTGCTTAGTCAACATTCTGGGGCACAGCCCACATTCTATGTTGTGACTCTGCAGACTTGTCTTCTCTGTGAATCTGAACTCATAAGAGCCAAAAATGAATTTGGTTATTATCATAAAAATAGCTCCTATTTATTTCTAATCATATCTTTCTAGCAATCTGCCAGATATTGTATTCCATGTGCTGTAGTCTTTATCTAAAAAAAAAAAAAAAAGCTAATCCTTACAATAAGATACAGATAGTCTCATTAGAAAAGACCCTGATGCTGGGAAAGATTGAGGGCAGGAGGAGAAGGGGACGAGAGAGGATGAGATGGTTGAATGGCATCACCGACTCAATGGTCACGAGTTTGAGCAGGCTCCAGGAGACAGTGAAGGACAGGGAAGACTGGAGTTTGCTGCAGTTCACGGGGTCACAAAGAGTTGGACATGACTGAGCAACAGAACAACAAAAGAGATTTTTGAGCCCCCCTTTTGTTTTTTGCAAATGAGGAAACTGAGGTTCAGACAGATTACCTACCTTGCCCAAGGTCACACAGCTAGAAAACATTAGAGGCGGAAATCTGACTCCAGAACCCATGTCCTTTGCACTCTATCCTGGCACCTAGCAGGGCCCGGCCCCAGTAGCAGGATCAGAGTCTGCTGAATTGGGTGATGGAGAATGAGTTGTGCTGGAGAAAAGCATGTGAGACCCACAGTTTGGCAGTGCAGAGTGGAGCGAGGTGGGGAGAGGCCTCCTGTGGGACGCTGCCCAGAGACACAGGGAGCGGGGTCAGGGGTCAGAACCTACTCCTGACGCCCGCGGGTTTGTCTGCAGGTCCGCTTTGTGAACAGCACATGGGTGTTCGGGAAAGGCATGTGCCACGTCAGCCGCTTCGCGCAGTACTGCTCCCTGCACGTCTCCGCCCTGACGCTGACAGCCATCGCTGTGGACCGCCACCAGGTGAGGGCTCCACCCGTGCCCTGCCCTGCCCTCCCTGGCGTTGCTTACCAGGGCGCTCAGGACAGTGCTTCAGCCCGTTTATTTTTAAAGACTGTTTCTGATGTGGACTGTCTTTAAAGTCTTTATTGAATCTGTTACAATATTGCTTCCGTTTTATGTTTTGACTTTTTGGCCGCGAGGCATGTGGGACCTTAGCTTTGTGACCCGGGATTGAACCCACACCCCCTGCATTGGAAGGCGAAGTCTTAACCACTGGCCTGCCAGTGCAGTCCCCTAGTCCATTTTGCAAAGAGCCTATTTGTCTTCTTACTGACCAATATGAGCACTAAATTAGGCATATTAAGTCCTTTGTGCTAGAGGCTGCAAAACATTACTCCCCATTTGTTATTCCAGTGAAGACTCCCTGCTGGCATACTGTGCATCAGAAATGACTGAGCTTGTTTTCGGGGGGGGGGGGGGGGGTGGGTGGGGGGGTGGGGGTGGGGGGCGGGGGGGATAGGAAGGGTAGGAAGGCAAGTCTGGAAAATGACAGATGAAAAGAGAGTGGCAGATAATTGCAGGTCGGAGGCAAGGCTGCTGGCTGGCAGATGAGGTGGATATCCCTGGGCCTGGCTATAGAGGAGGTACACCTGGGCTTGCGGACAGGGAAGCGTGCAGGCACAGGTGTTCAGCAGGGTGTTGAGGCCCTGCTTACCGTCCTGCCCCTTCAGATGCACATGGGAGGCTATGGTGAAGGGAGCCAAAAAGGACCTGACAGCGCCCGTCATGGAGGAGGGTGGTTCCATGCGGATGCCTGGCATATGCTGATTCAGTGAACCTTGGTTATACACTTGGGTCTGTGCAGAGTCACTGGTCACAGGTTCAAGGAAGGGCATCATCGCTTGCACACCACCATATGCCTGGTGACTGATGAAGGGAGGAACAGCCTTGAGGCGTGAAGCTGGCTGCAGGCTCATGCTCAGATTTCTAGAAGATTGTTAGTCTGCTCTGAGAAGACACAGGGGCACCTGCAGGCCAGTATCATAAGGATAATCAGGACAGAAAGAGAGAGAAATTTAATCCTAAGGAGCTCCAAGAGTTACAACAACAACCAAGAGATAGGAAGCTTCTAAGGTACAGACTCATCGGGAGAATCCTCAGTGGCTCAGCAGGTAAAGAATCTGTGTGCAATATAGGAGACCCAGGAGACTTGGGTTCCATCCCTGATTTGGGAAGATCCCCTGGAGGAAGGCATGGCAACTCACTCCAGTATTCTTGCCTAAAATCCCATGGATAGAGGAGCCTGGCAGGCTACATTCTATAGAGTCACAAAGAGTTGGACACGACTAAAGCAACCTAGCACACATGCACACTGTCCCTTTGGTATTTATGTTAAGTTGTTTTGGTGCAAAGTATCTAAATGTTGCATACAAATATTTCCTGCCTTTTCTTAACCTTCTGCCCTAATTCAACAAGAAGGACTCTGAATCACCTCACCTTTACTTGGGCTATACCTACTTCACTTAATACAGCTAACTGAGGGTCCACCCTTGGACCAAATGTGGGTCTGAGGAACAGGGGGAGGTCTTGCACACACTGGCCACACTACTGTGACATATACCCACACATGGGATCCTGTCCCAGAGCCTACAGGTTCTTGGAGCATCCAGGGCCTCTGACCCAGGCTTCCACTCCCTTTATTGACCTGAGCCATGAAGGAGTGTGAGAGGCAAGGATGGCAGAGTCCAGAATGGGGCTGTGTTGGGCAGCTTCTGAAGCCTCGTCCATTCCTCCGATAAACCTTAAGAGACTGGGAGAAGACTGTGGAAGAACACAGTAGAAGGTCCAGTGTGTCCTGGGATGGCATCCTGAGGTGGTGGCAGCTCTTTATGACCTCTCCTCCTGACCCTACTCACCCCAAACATCTTTTTCAAGAAATAATGATTCTAACCTAGCCACCTGGGTGTCCATCAACAGATGGATGGATAAAGAAGATGTGGTGTATATATATATATTGGAATACCACTCAGCCATAAAAAAGAATGAAAGTTTGCCATTTGCAGCAATATGGATGGATTTGGAGGGTATTATGCTAAGTGAAATAAACCAGATGGAGAAAGACAAATACTGCATGATATTACTTATATTGGAATCTAAAGTAACACAGCAAACTAGTGAATATAACAAAAAAAGAAGCAGACCCCCAGACATAGAGAACAAGCTAGTGGTTACCAGTGGGAAGAGGGAAGGAGGAAGAGGCAATGTCTGGGTAGAAGATTAAGAGGTACACACTACAGGTATAAAATAAGCTACAAGGATATATTGTACAACACAGGGAATATGGCCCATATTTTACAGTAACTGTAAGTGGAGTATAACCTTTAAAATTGTGAATCACTATATTGTATACTTACAATTTATATAATATTATACATCAACTATATTTCAATTTAATAAAAAGAAAAAATGATTCTAACCTTAAAATGAGGCTGCTGTGAAATTCCCAAGTCTTTATTTAAACCTTTTAGGATAATTGATTGGCATATAGTAGCAATCGGTTCTAAGATGCTTTTCAGCCCAAAGCTTCTAGCGCTGGTTTTATTTGGGGCTTGGGAAAGCTGGGCCCCATGCAGTTTAATTGGATTGGCCAAATAGTTCGTTCAGTTAGTGAGTATGTTGCTCAACACAGTTCTTGGTGAAAATGAAAAATGTGTCTTTTATTAGTACTTAAAGCTGAATGAATTTTTTGGCCAGCCCAGTAGAAACGGCTTTCAGAAACAGCGGTGACCCCCAAATAAAGGTCGATGCAGCTTCCCACAGTAAGTGGTGAGGGTCTCACTCTGTGTGTGTCACCTTCTGACCCCTCGGAGCCCGTCGTAACCTAAAGGATCTGGGCAGACAGGATGAGGTCCTGAGGTGGAGGCTGACCGTGGCTGCCCCTCTGCCAGCCCCACTGTGGGTGTCGTGGGGACAGACCACCCCTTCACTCTTCCCTGACCTTCTCACTGCATCCTGCTTCCGTCAGGCATGACCTACCTGCAAGAGCCATTTGAACTGCCTGAAGTCTCCGAGTCCAGATGGCATCCTCTTTCTACCCCCAGAGCTTGGGCAGTGGGGTGGTGTAACTCAGGGGCTCTACAGTGAATTAAGGGGTACTTGATTTTGTAAGTAGTACCCACCTGCCTCATTGTGACAAGTGAGCGCATCATCTGGATTTCTCATTTGCTTCAAGCTGTCTTCTGCCAGTGACGCCCAGTTTTGCGTGTTTTCCAGGTCATCATGCATCCGTTAAAACCCCGGATCTCAATCACAAAAGGTGTCATCTACATCGCAGTCATCTGGACCATGGCAACGTTCTTTTCACTCCCACATGCTATCTGCCAGAAATTATTTACCTTCAAGTACAGGTGAGGTGGACTAGTAAGCCTGGGGGCCTGGAGGACCTTGACAGATGGAAACTTGAGCCTCCTCTGAATCTCAGAGTTACTAGCACCTGCTGTGCCAAGCTGGTCTGTCTGCTTCCTTCCCATACTGTTGCTTCCAGGCCTCTGCCTATCGTCTGCATTTTTTTTTTTGCTTTTTTTTTCTCATCCTTTCTTCTAAACACTTTACAGCTCTTCCTTGTTATTCTCTGTCCCTTTGTTTGCAAGGTCAAGGCAATAGCAATCAGCTTCTGCCACTGGGGACATATACTCACCCAGACTGAAATTCAGAATCACCTAGTCCCTGTTTAAAATGATGAGGTTTAAGTTCTCTTGCACCAACCTACAAACAAACCTGTATATGTCTAAGTGTCTCAGGCAGGATGCTGTCCCCACACCTACCTCTCATTTATTATATGCTTTGTCTTGTGCTCTTATAGAAAGGAAAGCACCAGTGTCTTGAAATTTAAATACTTGTGTGTGTTGCTAGCTCGTTAAAGGTGACCTCCCCCTGCTAGACTGTGAGGTTGGGGGGGAGCTGGCTCCACTTCTGATTTTGTCATCTTGCTGTCCCTAGCATCTAAATGACTGTCTCCATATCACAAGCTCTCAGTACATATTTGCTGAATGAATGAATGAACAGAGTGATCTTTATTAGTTCATAGTTGTTTTAGCTGAAGTTCTATAGAAACAGATCCTGAGATAAAGGATGATGCATGTGTCCATGATTTTTAAGAAAGTGCTCCCAGGGGACTTCCCTGGTGGTCCAGTGGTTAAGAATTCTCCTTCCAATGCAGGGGACGTGGATTCAATCCCTGGTTGGGGAACTAAGATGCCATGTGCCGAGGAGCAACTAAGCCCATACTGCAACTACTGAACCTGCTCTCCACAACTAGACAGCCTGCATGCTGCAGCTAAGACCTGACACGGCTGAATAAATAAATGAAGTGCTGGATTTCCCTGGTGGCACAGTAGATAAGAATCCACCCACCAGTGCAGGGGTCACAAGTTTGATCCCAGGTCTGGGAAGATTCCACATGCCGTACAGCAACTAAGCTCGTGTGCCACAACTGCTAAAGCCTGTGTGCCCAGAGTCCAGGCTCCCCAACAAGAGAGGCCCCCACCATGAGAAACCTGCACATTGTAGTAAGAGTAGGCCCTGCTCGCTGCATCTAGAGAAAGCCCATGTGCAGCAACAAAGACCCAGTGCAGCAACAATAGAATAATTAATTTAAAAATACCAATAGATTTCTACGTACTTAAAATTTTTAAAAAAATCACCCTTAAAAAAATAAATAAGTGAAGTGTTCCCAGGGTGGTAGATGCTGGGGTGGAGAAGCAGGACGGCAAATGGGGAGAGATCGAGGGAGGGCGTGGCCTGCAGGGGGCGCTCCGGGGCAGACTGTAGCTGCGTCTGCCGGCTTGGAGGTGAGGGAGCTGCGCTCTCCTATCCTGGGAAACTCCTAGCCACTTCTAGCTCTTGGTGAATCTGGGGAAAGTGTCTTCAGTGGCCTTGGGGTGGTCCTAGGCTCCTGGAAGTCTTGGGTACCAGCTGTGTCTGTGGGGTGGGCAGGAGCTGGGGCCCAGTGCCTCAGACCAGCGAGGGGTGCCCTGCTGGTGGGTTTCCCGTGTGTTGCCTCACCTGAAACATACATTTACACACACTCCTGTGATGTAGGCGGGCTCCAGAGAACACGCTCAGACGGCCAACTTGAACTAATTTATGAAGAATCCATGCCTGAATTCAAGGATACCGAATGAATCACGTACCCACCCCTACTGAGCACTCAGCTTCCCCATCTGCCTTCACATGTGGAGCGCTGTTTCTTTTTTCTGATAACAAAAGCAACGAGTGCTTTCTTTGTTTCACTAGTGGCAGCCACCTGTATGTACTGATATTACAAGATCAACAAGCTACATGATATGATGAGAAAGTAGCAATTCTGAGTTGCTGCTTAAAGATTTTACAGGATGAAAACCCTGCTGGCATCAAAAGTCTGGACATTTAAATAAAGACCTGAGCATAGGTTTCCTGACACAAGTTCCTGCCTTGCTTTTTCCAGAGCATCTTTTAAAATGTTCATTCAGAATTGAGCCTGTGAAAAATTTGTGACCTCCACCCCAACCAGCTTGTAACAGGTGCTTGCTCCCTGCTCTCTCTCTCTTGCCCACTGGGCACCTGGGAGTAAGGATGGCACTTCTCCCGGCTCACAGAACCCCCAGCTGGGATGTAAGTAATAGTCTTGTGACTTTCTTTGTGTGAATGTATTAAAACTGTGCCTTCAATCAAAATGGCCCTGGGATTTTTGCTTCCCCAAAATTGGAAGGAAGTCCTGAGGGAACTCCCTGCTGCCTTGTTCAGCAGATCATAATCTGCATGCTCTTCATCCACCAGCTCCAGGTTTTCCAGTACACATAGGTGTCCTTAAAAAATTTGGAGAGGACCAGGTACATTCCATAGAAAATAAGTATTTTTGTCTGAGTGGCTGAAGGTGTATGAGTTCCAACATTGCCACTCACATTCTCAAGACTCATTATTTTTTTTCCCCCATTCCTTGGATCTCTCTGGAATGAAAGTAGGTTGTGCAACAGAAATTCCAAGATTTCTCAAATCCATTGTGCTCCCAGGATGAGTTAATTCTAAGACTAGGAACATCAGTGCATTTATTTATTGAACAAATATTTATTTGGCCTCTATTCTGGGCTAGGAACAATACAAAGTAAACACACAGAGTAATCTAGGTGTATTTCTCTTTCTTAAAAATTGAAGTAGGAGAAGGAAATGGCAACCCACTCCAGTATTCTTGCCTGGAAAAGTCCATGGACAGAGGAGCCTGGTGGGCTGCAGTCCATGGGGTTACATGACTGAGCATGTGTGCACGAGGGTGGAGGGAAATGGGTTGGTAGCAATAAACTGGTAGAACTAAAAAAAAAAAAAACTGAAGTATAGTTGATTTACAGTGTTAGTTTCAAGTGTATAGCAGACTATTTTCTCTTATAAGTTATTACAAAATGTTGAGTATAGTTCTAGATGCTATACAGTAGGTCCTTGTTATCTATTTTATATATTATAGTTTTTATGTTAATCTCATCAAATATTAATAATTTATAAGTTAATATTCATAAGTCCTGAATATTCATTGGAAGGACTGATGCTGAAGCTGAAACTCCAATGCTTTGGCCACCTGATGCGAAGAACAGACTTATTTGAGAAGACCCTGATGCTGGGAAAGATTGAAGGTGGGAGGAGAAGGGGATGACAGAGGATGAGATGGTTGGATGATATCACCGACTCAATGGAGATGAGTTTGAGTAGACTCCAAGAGTTGGTGATGGACAGGGAGGCCTGGTGTGCTGCAGTACATGGAGTCGCCAAGAGTCGGACACAATTGAGTGACTGAACTGAACTGAACTGAATCTCAAACTCCAAATTTATCCTTCTCCCCTGACCTTTCCCCTTTGGTAACCATGTTTGTCTTCTATGTTTATGGGTCTGTTTCTGTTTTGTATATAAGTTCATTCCTGTCATTTTTAACATTAAAAAAATTGTATCTTTTTTTAGATTCCACATATAAGCAATATCATATGTTATTTGTCTTTCTCTGTCTGGCTTACTTCATTAAGCATGATAACCTCTAAGTCCATTCATGCTGCAAATGACATTATTTCATTTTCTGAGTAGGATTCCATCATATATGTGTACCATATCTTCTTTATCCATTCATTTGTCATTGGACATTTAGGTGTTATTCTTACCTTTATAGAACTCCCAGCCTAGTGGGAATGCTGAAAATGTAGTCAGATAATCAGGCTGCTCATCATCTATGCTTAAATGGATGGATGCACCAGGAACCCAGGGAAGAGAGAGGCCAGTGTTCCTGGGATGGGGCTTTTCCACAGTAACTGCACATTCTCCTTCTCTCCCCCCTGTCCCCAGTGAGGACATCATCCGCTCCCTGTGCCTGCCAGACTTCCCTGAGCCAGCCGATCTCTTCTGGAAGTACCTGGACTTGGCCACTTTCATCCTGCTTTACATTCTCCCCCTCCTCATCATCTCCGTGGCCTACGCCCGTGTGGCCAAGAAGCTGTGGTTGTGCAACACCATCGGCGACGTGACCACGAAGCAGTACCTGGCCCTGCGGCGCAAGAAGAAGAAGACCATTAAGATGCTGATGCTGGTGGTGGTCCTCTTTGCCCTCTGCTGGTTCCCCCTCAACTGCTACGTCCTCCTGCTGTCCAGCAAGGTCATCCGCACCAACAACGCCCTCTACTTTGCCTTCCACTGGTTTGCCATGAGCAGTACCTGCTACAACCCCTTCATCTACTGCTGGCTCAATGAGAACTTCAGGGTCGAGCTGAAGGCGCTGCTGCGCATGTGCCAGAGGTCGCCCAAGCCTCACGAGGGACAGCCGCCCTCCCCTGTGCCTTCCCTCAGGGTGGCCTGGGCGGAGAGGAGCAGCGGCCGCAGGGCTCCTCCAGCCAACAGCCTCCTGCCGTCCTCCCAGCTGCAGTCTGGGAGAACAGACCTGGCGTCCGTGGAGCCCATTATGACGATGACTTAGAGGAGGAGGCGGGGAAGGGGTGGGGGTGAGGGGCTGTGTCTGCTGAGGAGGCTGGCAGAGCACCTGAGAAGAGAGCCTGGAAAAGAGTCTGTCCTCACACATGATGAACTTCACATGCCAGAAACAAGTTCCTGCAGAAGCCCAAGGTCGCTTGAGTTCCCACACAACTCTGTCCAGCCTCTCGGCTCCATTAGAGAAAACAAAAAGGCAACTTCCAGCTCAACACATACTGGTGAACTTCTGCCTGAGACATGCTGGTTCCCCAAGCCAGAGGACCCGGGACAGCTTCCGCTCACATGGGGGTTGAGTTAGGCAACTGCTCCCAGCAGCCAGGTGGCCGCCTTACAACTCCCCACCACTGAGCACTCGTGACGGACCGGGAGTCAGACTTGGGGTGTGCACAGCCCAGGGGCACAGCGCTGCTTGAGAAAGGACTGTTGGCCAGTGAGAGGTTCGCCAGCCAGAGCTGTTTTGGAGCTTTGAATGCCTTGCTTTCTGAAGTTGCTGGAGCAAGATGAATCCCAGTTCTATGGTGGCCCAACACATGACAAGAAAGGGCTAACTGGGTTCTTTACTTTAGTCAACAGGAATTACTGAGTTTCCTTAAAACAAAGAAAAAACTCTCATTGAAAGTTTGAAACATTCAGAAAAGCACAAAAAGGAAAATAAAAACTACTCCCTTCTCCCACTAACTTGTGATAAGTTCTGTCAAAATGCTATGGATTTCTTGGTAACTTTTTTCTGTATGTATGTGTCTGTGATTTTCGTTTCATGTTGAATTACAGTTTTCCATTTAGAAATAAGAAATACGAGCATAGCTGAGAACTCCTGATCCCCTCTCTGAGGAGTAATATCTACTGGAAGAGTTAGATGAGGTGAGAGAAGAGCCCAAGGAGAAAACTGTCCCAGAGCAGACAGACTGCCTGGTCTTGCAGCCTGCAGTGGGAAGGGCCTGGTTAAAGGACCTCTCTTAGGATGGTGGCCATTGCGATAAACCAGGAACAAAACTCATCCAGGAGATACAATTCCTCCTCTCCTGCAATCTCACAGAACAAGATGTGATGAAATACTGCTCTGCTTTTGCAGGAGATGAGAGAGCAGGCTTTCCAACAGGCTCTAATGCTGTCTAGACATGCTGTTTCTCCTCTGTGTTGTCTGAATAGTAAGGCTTTTTCACACCAGTTTCCACAAGACAGCTCACATTCAACCTTACTCTGGTGGCTCACGTGGTACTTATCAAAACCTATGGCATCATGATGGCCCTTAATAACTCAGCTTGCCAGAGGAACCTCATTCCAGAGATGATGAGTGTTTTCATCACCTTCTGTCTGGTCCTGAGTGAGTCACGGTGTCACTCAGGAGAGAGGTGCCCCAGGCAGAAGGGAGCTTCATTCACAGCCCTAAGCAAGTGCTGCTCTCACGCTCGTTTGAGGTTTCTTTCTAGCAACCAGAGAGATTCTGAAAGCAAACAATAGCCGTGGAGCTGAGTGGAAAACTGAGGCTTGGGAGAAGGGGTTTGTCTGAGGTTCACTTAGATCTCTTGGCTATTAACTGGGCTTTGTCATGTCATCTGCTGCCCTAAAATGAATCATGGGGGTTCATCATACTAGTCTCTCTGTTTTGGGGATGTTTGAAAATTTCAAGCTGTAAAGTTTAAAAAATCATCTGAACAGTGGGTAAAAAATTGACTTTCCTGGGACGTGCATGCTATGTTGCTTCAGTTGTGTCCGATTCTTTGGAACCCTGTGGACTGTAGCCTGCCAGGCTCCTCTGTCCATGGAATTTTCCAGGCAAGAATACTCGAGTGGGTTGCCAAGGGATCTTCCTGACCCAGGGATCAAAACTGGGTCTCCTGCACTACAGAAAGGTTCTTTATCATATGAGCCCCCAGGGAAGCCCATAGGTTCCAGCTTCATGGGAGAGAGGGAGGCTTTTAGGCCCATAGGGATACCAGGAAGGTTTTTTCCAGCCCACATGGCTTCCAGGCCTGAGCCTATTGTCCTTTAATGCTGTCATGGCATCCTTTGAACCAGAAAGAGAGCAAGTGGCAGAGCTTTGGAAAGTTTGTCCTGCTCTGAAATCAGAGGAAAAGTTTCCCTTCACTCCCTCCTCTCTGAGGGCCTTTAGAATTGCTGCCAAGTCCCAGGAAAGGTCTTTCTCTAGTGGAAGTCCCGCCCCACTAAGGTCTGGGTCCGCTGTCAGTTCTCCATCTCCGATCTCCCTCCACTTCATCGACCTTCCCTGTGTCTCATAGCAAAACGTGCTTTGTGTTTATGAATGTGACGCGTGTCACTCTGGAACCTCTGTACCATGCTGTCATGAAGACTTGACTGTAACTTGTTCCAGTGTCAATAAAATACATAGTGGCTGTGTGGTCTGTGCTTCCCAGACTGATGATTCCAGTCAGTGACTTTCAAATAGGGGTTCGTGTGGATTAGATGAAGAGTGTGTGGATATCTTCAGCCTTCACCTCTGCATCTTACAGCTGAGCAAACACAAACAAACTGAGCGGGTAAAGAACCAGTTGAAAGCCTCTGAGTAGCGCTTCTTCCATGGTGCTGGCTGCAAGTCCCCTCTTTTGTGATTGTGAGTCTGTGTTGAGTGACTGGGGGCTCCATCTGGTCCTTGGTGATCCCAGAGATGAAGCTGTCACTCTCACACGCAGGGTGCAGTGGGTACAGTGTTCCTAGTCACAGGATTTCTGCCCACGCTGGACCGAGGCTCCCCCTCTCCGACCAAGTAAGCTGGGTAGGAGGATCTATAAGCAGCTCTTTGCAGGAAACCCCTCTCATCAGGCAGCCCCCTTTTCTTGTCACTTTAGCATAAAGCTATATTGTAACTAACTTTTAGACCAGGTACCCCCATGCTGTAATCACCTCTGGCCCAGGCACAACTTTCAAAATTTTAATCACACAATACCTTGCCTAACTTGTCAGTTCTTTCTGTAAATCAAAGGAGTAGAAATGAAGAAATAATTTACAGATGACCAGATCTCTTCCCTGGCTTCCCCTCCAGTAATCTTGTGAACAAACTGTGTGACCAAACTGTGTGAACAAGACCAACACCTAGAGGAAGATCATGAGGAGATGACAAGCCTGCACACAGTGGGGCATGGTGACCACTCTGACCCCCCATCTCAGGGATTAACTGAGACGACTTCCCTCTTTCCCTGCAAAACTTCCCTGGCTGAGCAGCATCTTCAGAGCTGGTCTTTGGGAGACACTGACTCCAGCATCTTCCCAGATTCCTGCCATTCTGATTAAAGGCACCTTGCCTTTCTACCAGCATTTGTCTCTCTCCTTTTCTCTCTCATGTTGATTTTTTTTCATATTCTATTTTTTTTATTTTTCCATTTATTTTTATTAGTTGGAGGCTAATTACTTTACAATATTGTAGTGGTTTTTGTCATACATTGACATGAAGCAGCCATGGATTTACATGTGTTCGCTATCCCGATCCCCCCTCCCGCCTCCCTCTCCATCCCATCCCTCTGGGTCTTCCCAGTGCACCAGCCCTGAGCCCTTGTCTCATGCATCCAACCTAAGCTGGTGATCTGTTTCACCCTTGATAGTATACTTGTTTCAATGCTGTTCTCTCAGAACATCCCACCCTCGCCTTCTCCCACAGAGTCTAAAATTCTGTTCTGCACATCTGTGTCTCTTTTTCTGTTTTGCATATAGGGTTATCATTACCATCTTTTAAAATACCATATATATGCATTAGTATACTGTGTTGGTCTTTATCTTTCTGGCTTACTTCACTCTGTATAATGGGCTCCAGTTTCATCCATCTCATTAGAACTGATTCAAATGAATTCTTTTTAATGGCTGAGTAATATTCTCATGTGGATTTTTGAGCAGTGAGCAGACAGACCTGATTTGGTAGCACTTCCACTGCATACATAATTACCCTGATGCCATCCAGAGCCCAGGAAATCAGTGTTAAATGATGACCCAGAAGGGGATTTATTGTACCTGGGGAACGTTTGAAAGAAGATGAAAGGCAATGGAGAAGAGAGAGCTAGGACCTGCTGACAGCTCCTGCATGAGACACCTTGCTGAATGTTTCTCAGCCCGTAGACTCACTTCCCTCAGTATTTCTCCAAGGTGGCTGTTATTATTTCTACACTGCAGGTGAGGAAACTAAAGCTCACTCTCAGTAAAGATCCTACAGCCTAATCTTGAGGTTAGGTTCTGAGAAGCCATGTAGGAAAAGAACCTGACTTTGTTTTTAATTTAATGTTCTATGAATTTCCTTGATTATAGGGCACTTTGGGGAACAAAACTTGTTTATCCCAAAACCAGTGCTTGAGTTACATGCTTTAGGAAATGGTTGACTATCATTTGGTGGGTCCCAGGGCCCCTTGTAGCCCTGTGGTCAATGAACTCATGCTAGCAGAGCAGGGCAAGTATCACACTGCCTTGTGGGCCCCCCCCAGTTAGAAGCATCTTCCCAACCAGCTGTGAGCCATGGCTCAGTGGCCTGGCCCTGCTTATCAACTGTGGCAGGTGGACGGCAATAGCAGCCGTCTTACAGCCGGCCTGGGTCTCAGGGTCTGCAGGCAGCAAGAGAAGAGCCCGGCTGGACCCTTGCTGCTCCAGGCAGGCTGGGACATTTCCCGGGTCCCTAGGGTAAGGGGAGCTATGCCAGAGTGTCTGGCTGGGGTCGTCCGGGAAGAGGGGCTCTTGTGACATCCACTGGGTAAAGATGCTTGTCCTAGAACATTGCCCACAGATGGTAGAAGATGCTCCTAGTGCTGTGGGGTCAGGACGTCAGCACCTTGTTTTGGCCTCTGTGTACCCTCCCCACCCCCTCACTCTGTCGCCTCACTCCTGCCCTCCTCTCTCATGTCAAGGTGTATACACTTAGTAAAGGAACAAATACAGTACATGCAATGCTGGAGGTTCTGGAGGGAAAGAATAACCAGTGGTATTTAGTGTGAGAAAGCCCTGGGGTTCAGGTTTTACAGCCTCTCTTGCCGAGACTAAGCTATCTGCTGC